ATGACCTATTTTTGACCCGTGTTTTGCTCATATCTCTGTCAAATGTCAAGGTATCGAGCTGAAAATTTTACCACAGCCTTCGCACTTCAGCCCCAAGATATGCTCCAAATTTCAGCCCATTTGTATTGACCAGGGCTGAGACCGATTTTTGAGGGGGAGGGGGGCTATAAGTTAGCAAATAGCGTAACCATTGGCGCTTAATGGCGCCAATAGGAGCGTTGCTATGGGCATAAGAATAAGGTGAAAAAATGCATAGATTATGTCGACACCAGAGAAAAGTTAAAGTCAAATTATAAGATTTATGTTGTCGGCATATTCATTTAATCTTATGCATATAGCTGAATTTTCTCGGCAATCTGTTCACCTCAACAAAAGTAACCAGTGTTCTAATGTTATTCACTCACTTAAAATATGCGAGATGAATTATGTTCTTATTTAGTCGCCATATTCGCAATTTTCATGCTTATACACGTTGTCGAATTCATAAACTCGTCAGATCACAATTTTTCTATTGGTTTATTACTGTACTGGTATTATTGAACACAATCGTGTTAGCATCTGAGCATTATCAACAACCACCTGCATTGTCTTATATACAAGGTAAAAAATGATTACTTTTAACTAAATTCAGCGTCCGATACTTTTCCTCATTTAAAACGGAATTCAGAATGTTGGCAACGTTGATACCAGCCTTCCAAACCTCTTGGTGCCTACTTTGTTGTCTCTAACATTTCTTGTTGATCGAGATTTCTCGAGTAAAAACAAACAAATAAGGTGACTTTCTCTTTAATTTTTCTATTTAGATAAGGCGAACAGTGTATTTGTCTGCCTGTTTTCACTTGAAATGTTGTTAAAAATGTACACCTTTGGTATAACCGGTTATTTTGCATCAAATTTTAACCGTTTTGACTGTTTCATTGTTATCGGAGGTATCATTGACCTTGTTTGTGCTGCCTATCTGGATACTACGCTGCCATTTGCAATAATACTATTACGCTGCGTACGATTACTGAGAGTATTTAAAGTAACGCGTTATTGGCTAGAATTAAGAAATTTGATTGTTTCATTATTGAACAGTATGAAATCCGTTGCATCGTTATTGTTCTTATTATTTTTATTAATTGTCATCTTTGCTTTGCTGGGAATGCAGATGTTTGGTGAGAAAAAACGTTGTTTATTCAAAAGACTCAGTTTTTGACAAAATGTATATGGATCTTTCTGCTTATTAGGTGGGAAATTCGAAAAACTTTTTGAAATCGAAGAAAAGCCAAGAAATAATTTTGATTCATTTTGGTCGGCATTAGTTACCGTCTTTCAGGTAAGACTCAAAATGATTAATACATAATAACAAAGCATTAAATTTTGCGACGCTTTTTCTATTAATAGATTCTAACTGGTGAAGATTGGAATGAAGTTATGTACACCGGAATACGAGCACATGGTGGTTTGAATCTATGGGGCACTCTTGCTTGTTTTTATTTTATAATTCTGTTCGTATGTGGAAAATATATTGTGCTAAATGTCTTTTTGGCCAGTAAGTCGTTTTGTTTGTATTATATAAGAGTACAATTAATAAAAATCAGTTCTGTTTATTTTTCTGTGTAAACAGTTGTCGTCGACAACTTGGCTGAAGCTCAGAAGCTAACAGATGCAGAAGAAGAAGAGAAGAAACGAAAGGAATTAGATAAAGAAAAAAAACAGGTGCTGGAAGACTTTTAGCTTGTTTTTTTCTGTTCTTATTGCATGTTAAAACACTCATTGTAGGAGAGAGAAGTAAAAACAAACGATGACATGAAGATCAATGATCAGTAAGTTTTTTATTTGCTTTTCATTTCCTGACCTATTGATTGAAAAACATTTTCGTTCGATTTTCGTTTTATAGAAATGGCAAAGTTGGCAGTGGTATGCAAATGTTACCATCGATTAGCTGTTATTTTTTATCTTCCTTTTAATTTTCTGTTTTAGTTGGAAAACAATCGGGCGAGGCATCAGTCAATGAAACCGAAGAGAATTTAGAAAATAAAGAAGAAAATGGAACACAAAATGATGAAAATGAATCAGAAGAACAATTGGAAGGAGAAAATAGAGAGACGAAAAAAGCTCGGTATGATAATAGCGCTCCTTTTTCTTTTCATTATCATTCAATTACCGTTTTCCATATGCCAAGGCGATTGTCTGAACTGAAGATAGTTGAAAATGTGAAGTCGATTCCGTCTCACAGTTCGCTGTTTATATTCAGTCATACAAATAAGTATGTGATCTGTTTTTTTTTATGATTTAGAATATAATAATTTTTAATTGTTTTGGATTTTAGATTTCGAATAACTTGTCACAAAATTTGTAGTCACAAATGGTTCGATTACTTTGTATTCATTTGTATTCTAGTTTCAAGCATATCACTAGGTGCTGAAGGTGAGTGAGCAAAGGGCAGACAGGCAGTAATTGTTTTTTCAGGAAATGTGCACAGCTGTATGAGAAAACGAAACATTCTTGTGAAACGCTTGTTTCAAAGAAACCTATCACAATGTGAGTCGAATGTTCAACACTTATTTTCTTCTTTTGTTTTAGATCCAGTTGATCCTGAATCGACCAGAAATATGGTATGTTGTTCCTTTCTCACCGGTTCAGCATTTTTACGTTAAACGATTTTAACCTATCAGCGCGATCTATTGCACTTGAAAAGCACGTTTTGAACTATTCCTATCACGGATATTTTTTTTTGAAGCGATGAGAGATGGTGTTTCGATAATCTCTAGGTTCACGTTTTCGCAGCCTAGAGAATAGTCCTTTATTTTTGTTTTTGTTTTTCATTTCCTTTCAAAACATTAATTGATTATGAACAACACATCAGAAGATGATTATCAAACATCATCATATATCAAAACGCTGAGATAAAGTCGGACAAAAACAAACCGATTAACTTATCAACGTATCTCGATCAAAGCAAAACCCAGTGAAAAACTCTTGAAAATGCGCAGCAAAACAAGTATCTTCCATTTAAAGTAAAAATCATTATCAGATGGAGTCCGAAACTTCCATCACCAACTGCTTGATGACTGAATCGTGTGTTTCCTATACAGTTTATTCACATGAAGAACCATCGACATTACTTACCTATGCCAATAACACCAAGGATTATGGCAAATTTTTCAATAATCCACGCGCAGTAATAATTTGTAAGCTTGAGTACGATTTGATCTGGTCAGAAAAGGTACTGTACTCCTTCTCCGTCGTGGCTATCGGAGTGCCGAAGCAGTGGAACTAGATGAATTTCAACAGAAACAGGCTCACACTTATGAGTCTGTGGTCAATGTGCGCCAATATCATACCAGTGATAGACCGACGAACAAAGTGCGAGTGGACTTCAAGCCGGTGGAAGACCTCGAAGCTGCCTTATCCGGTGGCCGTATCAACCTGAATATTAGAATATCGTATCCAGTAGAGCGTTATATTCCATCTTCCAGCCATTTCATGGGTCCGACGATGCCAGAAAGTAGCAATAGCGCGACGACGCAGTTCACAAACCTGAAGACTCAGTTTGTAGCGAATCAGAACGTCAGAGCTTTTCTACCAAAGTCACCAGAGCGTCACAGAACTTCACAAATACAGAAGGTCTTTCAGCAGCCGTGCTTGGATAATTGCTTGCGAAACACTTGAGTTTAATTTAAACAAAAAACTAAAGAACATTCATCATGCCACCGTGCAAAAATTAATGCATCAGTACTTCAGATGACAAAGAAAATATGAGTTGAAAATGGAACTAAAGAAACTTGAAGACAGTCAACAGCAGTAGCAGCAGCAAAGAGAGAGAGAGAGAAACGTGCTGAAGTTATATTATTCACACTGTAGGAAAAAGTTTGTTACTAGATAAGCAAAATGGCCTAAACGTTTGCTCGTCATCGAAAAGTGCGTACTTTTTCTAGATGGTCACTCTCAGTGTATGTTAAAAAGTTTTAGTATTTTTCGTTTTTTTCGCTAGCTACAACATCAAATGAAAAAATAATTTCAAAATAGTGATCACCGTCTTCAGAAGTATATATACTATCATTCTGAGGCAAGACGGGTAACAAAAAAAGTGAAAAACAAACCATCGCTATATGTGAGATTCGAACAATCGATCAGTGAATCTAAAGCATTTTCAGCACAGACGGTTTGCCAAGGGGAAACAGCACCACCTCACATCACATCGTACAGATGGCGCCACAATCAACACCATCAGTATATGGCGTTACATTCGTCAGACAGCGCCATTGTCGTCGGAGAGCACTGGTAGTAGCGCTATCTACTTATGGTGCTGATTGTGGCGCCTCCTATAAGTGCTTCGCTAGTTCACTTCAAAATCACTTCCGCTTCACTTCAAGTGAACTAGTGAAATGGTGCTCTTAGCCCTTGCGATTTGCACAACCAGACTGTATCATTGGTCTCAGGGTGTAAAGCTATGTAGTAACTTCTCAGTGTGTACTTTACGCACCTACACCATAGATTCTAGACGGCCACTTGTCATTTATATACTCAGTCACGCAGTACAGCTAGTAAACAGGGTATGCCCTTTTTCTACAGTGCAGTATAGCAGATAGAAAGATACTACCGACAGTACTCGGACAATCATTATCTTCCTAACCAAATTAGTCGTTAAATATTCTATCTGATTCGTCTGTTTGCGCGTCAGTACAATACCCTTCACAGATCCTTCTATTCTACTGAAAACCGACAAAATACCTTGCACCCCTAAATGACAGTAGCAGCATCCGGTCTTAAATATTACTCGGTCCACATCTAGCCACAATTCAAAACGCCGTCATCGATAGACTTCAGACCTTTGAATATTGGAGGGAGAACAGACATTACCCAGGTGAAAGAATTCTTCAATAAGATATATGGTATCTTGTAAAATCCTAAAATAAGATCTGATCAGATCTTATATGATCCTATGAAATCATATAGGATCCTATAGGAAACACGTCTGCGATCTTAAAGCAAGAAATGACGTAGGATTCCTGTTATAGGACCCTATGAAGTTCATCAGTAGGAACTTATAAGATCATATGAGATCCTATATAATCTTATTACAGGATTTGATAGGATTTTCCATGATTAGCTAGGATATGATATAGTTTATCCTACGAAGTTCAATATTTTTATTTGCTTAATTATTCTCTGATGCCAGCTAGCCAGAATCAGGCGATTCTGAGCTAAAAGAATTTTTCATATTCTACAGAAGAGTTGTATTTATATTAAAGTTACTATAAAACACGTCGGTGATTTTGTTCTTATGTAGAAAAAGAAAAGAAAATATATACAGAACGAAAAAATAGAAATTCTACAAAATCTTACCGTAGGATTTTGTAAGAAATTCATAAGATCCTAATTACAGGAATCTTATAGAATTTTTGCTACCGTGCTATATATCAAGAATCCTAGAATTCCTGCTGTAGGATTCTATAGGATCCTGCTGTAGGATTCTGTAGGATCCTGCAATAGGAATCCTACGAAATACTATTGTCAGTAGGATCCTAGATGGATCTTATAGGAATCTAACAGGATTGCTTGACCTGGGTGATTGTACTTGTTGATTTTTAAGTGTGTCTCTGTAAATTTACTATAAATGTATATGGTCTTATGTTTGTTCAGTCAGCTTCGATACTGAACATTTTTGTGTCTCATTTTTTGCTTCGCTAATAAACAATAATCTCTTTCCGTTGGAAAAGTCTTTGAGATTTCTACGGAAAGGCAAAAAAGACTTAGAGGCTGACGATATACAGGATTTTCACTTGTTTAGATTCTAAATTCATGTGATTACGTTTTCACGGCTGTTTTCACAGTTGAAATATGTTTAAAAGTAAGTGTTTGAAACGCGTTCTTCCTTGGACACGTACTATAGAGATCTGTTCGTCTTTTTTTCCTTAGGTCATATCCTATGGTTTAATCCTTCATAAAGGCTCAGTTTGTCGTAATCGGTTTAACATCTTGGATATTCTGATTGTTGCTGTTTCATTAACTTCCATGGTTATCAAGTACGTTTAAATACTACTGTGAAGATAGTTTTCTTAAATTTGATCTGTTTTTATTAATATTTTTACAGAGATAGTGCTATGTCTGTTGTAAAAATACTTCGTCTACTGCGTGTTCATCGCCCTTTACGTGGTATTAATAGAGCGAAAGGCTTAAAAGTATGTTGTTTTGTGGTAATATTTCGCTATTAATATAGAAAATCACTGTTTCTACTCATCCTTGTATTTGCAGCATGTTGTTCAATGCGTTGGTGGTGCCATTAGAACAATTGGAAATATTATGTTATTGACATTTTTACTTTTGTTTATCTTTGCCTGCATTGGAGTGCAGTTATTCAGTGCAAGAATTGTATTTTTTTATGTTTGAATATGAATAACGGTTTTTCTTTTTAAAGGGAAAATTTTACTCGTGCAACGACAAATCAATGTTAACTAAAGCCGATTGCAAGTAAGTCAATGAAGACAGATACTAGTATGCCACTACACATAATCGTTACATTCATAATCATTTATTAGGGGAGATTATTTGAGAAAAGTGGACAACAAAATCTATAAATCTGCAAGAAAATGGGAAAATTCAAAATTTCATTTCGATAGTGTAGCACAAGCTTTATTAACATTGTTTACCGTTGCCACTTTGGAAGGCTGGCCAGTGTATGCTTTAGCCACATTCTGTTTCTGTGCATATCATTGTTTATTTAATTCTCTTCCTAGTGTATTACATATGGCTGTTGATTCAAATAAAGAAAATTATGGCCCAATATACTATCACCGACCATTTGTCGCTATATTTTTCGTTGCATTTATTATTGTTATTGCTTTTTTCATGGTTAATGTATTCGTCGGTTTTGTGATTGTTACCTTTGTGACTAGTGAACAAGAATATAAAAATTGTGAATTAGATAAGAATCAGGTGCGTGGTGTTTTCGGGAAAAAACAGAAATTGTCAGAATGCGCTCCTACTACCGTATTTGGATGCCATGCTTCCAACATTACTTTAAATTTTCCACCAAATTAACTGTTTAACTTTCCCCCTTCTCTTTATTTTAATTCAACCTGCGAAAAGTATACTTGAAATCTGCAGAAAGTCATTCAATATTTATTTTCTTCGGATATAACTACCAAATAAACCAAGGCTAGAAATACAGTTTTATGATAGAACCAAACTATCTTTGAAAATAACAGTTCACATTTAATTGAATATCCTTAAAACTGTGTACGAAAACAGCACTGTTTTGTGTCGAACAGTGAAGAAATACGTAGATTTTAAAGGAGTTTCTATACGTAATAGACTGAAAACGTCAAGTAGATCTTAGGTGTGAGTACTATGACACTATTTCATTGTTTTTTTCTTCATTTAGCGTAAATGTGTTGAATTTGCACTGAAAGCACGTCCAACAAAACATTATATACCGGAAAAGTCACAATTCAAGATTTGGTGGATTGTACATTCGTCGCTATTTGAATACGCAATATTAGCACTGATTATGATTAACACAGTTATGTCAGCCATGAAAGTACGTGCAGGGTGGCTTTCTCTCGTTTCGGAGAAAGAAAAATATTAATTTTGTGTTTTTAGTACTATAAACAGCGAGACACATACACAAAAGCACTTGATTATATAAATATTGTATTTACAGCTATATTTACATTTGAATCACTCTTGAAAATGGCTGCGTTTAGTCTCAAAGTACATGATGATTGCTTACTTGTTTCTCTTCTGTTCCAAACTGTTTTTGTTTTATGTTATTTCAGAACTATTTTGGCGATCCTTGGAATGTTTATGATTTCGTTATTGCCGTTGGTAGTCTTATCGACATTATTTATAGTTTTGTGATTCACGTACGTATAATTAAGGATTTCATTTATTCATTTTCGTCGAAGGTGCCGGCATTGCAAAAGTCGAGCGGATCTTTTTACTTGTTACTTTCACCTTAATCGTCATATATGATATGTAATATGAAATTATGTTGGTCTAATAACTTGGTCAAATAAGTTACAGTCGGTTAACCATTCGATACACCGACGGTATGTTAAAAAGTGGCCCATGGGATCCCATTAGGAACTTGGAAAGTAGTCTCTTCGTACATATACAGCCAATTTGAACTTTTTAAGATGAATAAAAATCGCCACCAGAAATCTCCCACTATATGTAAAATGTTCTTCAAACTCGATGAAACTTTCAGCGTTTATTCAACTATCCTTCGTAACTACTGGGATATATTTGCTTTTCGAACAAGCTACACCCTTGGGCGGTGGAGGTGGCA